ACATTGATGTTTGCATCTGTTTCACTTGTGCAGGAGACACCAATGACAATAAGACAGCAGTGGGACCAGAAGACGTGTCGAAGATGGGCTGCCCCTGTCTGGGAGAACACACAAAGCTGGAGGTGGTCATTGAGGAGTCGTATGAATTCAAGGTAACTCAAAATAAATATTTACATTTTTATGTTAAATTTCTCCAAAGCAGATGTTGGATGATGAATATTTGTAACACATGTCATCATCATGAGTTCTTTGGACTTCTGATCCAAAGTACTGATGGTTTTTGTGTAAAATCTTCTTTAGTCAAGTGTGCTCGATTGGTTCCACTTTAGTGCTGAATGAAATTTATCCTGTTTATGACTGATTTTTAATGCATAACACAAACTGTTTTCGTTTTTAGGTTAACTGTATTGTATTTTGATTACTTACTATGCGTAATTATCTATTTTTATGATTAGACTGTGATTCAGTGAAAGGACAATCTGCTTTGAGTGGCTTATGTCACTGCTATCTCAAGCAGAATGTGCTGTGTCATAAATAACTAGTTAATACACGCCTTGAGACACTTACAACGCATAATTATTTTATTAGCAGTCTGTAAAATGCTTATTTAAGAGGTCTGGTTCATGTGATAGGGAGATCGCCCAATCAATGTAACAGCTTGACCCTAGAGTGGCCAGACCTYGAAGAAAGTATTTAAATGTGACCGCGCTTCCTTGTTCGTGGCCAAACACCATGAAATGTTATTTTGGTCCAGCCCCTGGGTGTTTGTATGCTTCAGTTCTTACATTCAACACTGACACACACTGAACACTTATTCTTCTTTCAGCACACCTAATGAGTTCCTGTTACATAATCTATTGGAGTATCCAAACAAAGCGAACACCTCAGAGGTTCATGGAGATAATGACAGCATAAACCTGAACCCCAGTTTTTTTGTTAGATCACAATATTTTCTCATTCGACAGCCAGGGATTAATATTTAATTCAAGCAAAGATGTGTGATAAATTATGAAGTATTCTCATGTAACTGACGAACGTCTCTGCCAAAGGATTCCTTCACTGAACTTTTCATTCAGCCTGAACTGTCAGAAAAAAAAGAGACCCAAATAAAGCATTTATAGCAGAACTCAGCTGGTTTAAAGTTTAGATGAGGCAAATAAATAAAAACTCTTTCACATCAAAAACCCCAACATTTCTCGAAGGAATCACCCACCACCCTCTTACGCTGAGAAATGACGGCATTATAGCTATTTTGGTCAGACTTTAGAAGTAACAGGGCTATTCAACTGGCGGCCCGCGGTCCACATCCGGCCGGCAAGTGACCAAAGTTTGGCCCGRCCGTTGATTCATTCATCCCTTAAYCACAAACCCCGGTMTTCTACTTTAATTACTCTAAGTTCTTTTAGTTAAACATAAACATGGGCGGTATCTACAGAAACGTCAGAATCTTGGCTAGAAGCTGGTAAAAATACATTTCAATGAACACCCAAGAAAGTTAAAACAACAAGTACTTGAAGATAAAATGATGAAAGTGAAAATGAAATTGGTTTAAAAATTTGGCAAGTCAGAGATGTCAAAATATTATTTGTGTCAAATAGGAGGCATAAAGTGTTCTTTTTGTTTTTGATAATGTGTAATTACTTTTATTTTTGTCGATATCATGGTATTTGATGGTATTTTTGTGTGATGGGAAGCACCTCTGTGCATCTGTGGGGGCTGTTTGGCTCAGGTGTCCTCCTGGGGCTCRTCCAGTTTCTGAWGTGTTGAGCGGTGGTGCTGTTCAGTGTCTGCAGATGAGGAGGTGAAGCGAGTTTGCAGAGCATTAGGAGCTGGGGTGCTTCTGCACAGCGGGGGTYGCGTGTTCTTTCTGGGCATCGCCCTCGGCTGCTGCGTCTGCCTTGGCTTCTCTTTCTGCATCCAACTCTGCCTCACTTTAACTCAGAAGTGTCAAAGTCATCTTCAGCGTGGACCACATGAGCATCCCATGTCTCACTGCTGGCTGAGCACCGCTAATAAACAATAACTGAGCTCTACGRACTGTTGTATAAAGAACAACAAAGTTATACTTGAGTAAAAGTACAATAAATAAAGGTCATATAGATTTTATTTCTGTCCCCACTCACCATAACCATAACCATAAAAAGTAGGCTGAAAAATATTTACTCAAGTAAAGTACACATACCCAAAAATTCTACTTAAGTGTAGTAACAAAGTAGTTGTATTTAGTTACTTTACAAATCTGGCACTATGTGGTATTTCCTGCATAGAAACAGCGATTTAACACGTCCTCTTATAAACACTGAAAAGTACTGCAGGCACAGCTGAGCAAATCAGAGATAAATAACATAAAAATACTATTAAAGGTAAAAGTAAGAGAGTTTTACTCACTGCTGAGCTGTGGTGAGTAGCTGCCATCTTGAATTCTGAACTCTTCTAAAAGAAAAATCCCACAGGAGGGGTGTTCCAGTTTAAATTTACCACTTGTACGTAGGAAATTCCTACTTCCCAGTACAACCACCACCACCTAGTGGTYGGATGAGGTCATTTTGAGAGTACAACAATCAACATGCATTATGGGAGATGTATGCTCAGTGCTGACTTTAAAAGGAGTATATTCTTATTTTAAGACATTKATACATRTTTAAAACTCTAGTGGGCCACATTTGGCCTGCAGACCTTGAGTTTGACACCTGCTGTCACTTATTGGCAAAACGGGTTCCCAATGTTGTTCAAGCTATTTAAATCGGTAAAAATCATGTCATAACAAAACTGCCCAGCTGTAGCTGTGACAGCCATTTTGAATTTTGAACTGCATTGATTTGTACATTCAATTAWTATTTTTTGAGAGTTTCATCATCCAGACAGACTACTACACACACTCACACAATCCCATGCAAAAAATGTAACCTCTTTGCAGCGGGTATTAAATAATCTGATACTGTTGATCCTGACCTGTTTAGTAACAAAAAACTTTTATTGTTTTTTTTCCTTTGATAAAGCAAAACAAGTTCCCATCTGGTAAGAACTGCACTGTTTTGTTTGCTGCAGCATCTCCTAACTCAATCTGAGTGCAGCCTGATTACATCATCGAGACATCTCCCTTGTTATACTAATATTACAGCCACAGGACCCATTTTCCAACAGTTTTACAGGTTTATATTGCAGTCCTCTCTGAAGGTAAGCTGATGCTCAAGCTTAAATTGGGTGTTGAGCCTCTTTAAGACAACTTTGAAACATTTAGGCGGTAACATGATATTGCTTTGAGACCAGCAGCTCCAAGCCTTGACTCTATTTCCTGTAAAGGATCTTCACTGGTAAACACCCCACCCCTAACCAAATCTGGGTTTTGTGCCACAGTGGAGCCATGCTCCTAATTGTACCTTCAAGTCACCACATCTGTGTCCCGTCTGTCAGTTTCTGCTAAGAGTTTATGTTAGACCTGAACATGCACCTTTCGTTTGTTATGTGGGTCTCCAGAGCACTGTGGACAAGCTGATCAAGAAGACCAACCTGGCCCTGGTGGTGGGGAGCAGCAGCTGGAGGGAGCAGTTTGTTAGTGCTGTCACTGTCAGCGCAGGTGAGCCGCCATGCCCTGAAATGTGTCACCTGCCTCGTTCCCCCTCCAGACCAGAACCTGTTCAGGTCTGAGCTTGTTTGTCTGGATCTGTTTTTTTTTTTTTTGTGTCTTTGTTTTTCAAGCACATCTTGGTTAAAATCCCAAAAGTTTCCAGTTTCAAGTTTGCTAACATTTGAGGCGATTGCTTTGGGTTATCTGCTGCATCTGTTCAGTTCAGGCAGCTGTTTAAAAATTCATTATGTGGTGAATTTCTTATGAGGCTCACTATAAAAGCTAAAGTGGCCAACTCTGCCCGGACGTTTAATGGCTGTGAAGTACGGCGACACTTTTCATTTTGCCCTTTTTAAAAAAAAAGTGCCATCGGTGTGGTTTTGTGACTCTTTAAGATARGCACCAGCACACAAAACACTGGAGCATTAAGCTGCATTAAACAATAAAGATTTGCTCTTTTTCACACCATTTTGGGTTGATTTAACCTAGATTTACATGCATTAATAAAACACATTATAATTTAAGTCTCGCTGTCAGAAACAGACGGYAAGAGCTGTATTTACAGGTTTAATGTAATGATTTGAAAAGGTTAGCTGCTTGGAATCTGTCCAGCACTCAGTGAGAATACTGTATTATACCCTCAGAACGGCTGCAGCTTTGCACAATAACAGGCTTGTTGTCCCATTATTCTGCCTTGCATTGATGCGTAGATTTAATATAAAAACAGCTTTGATTATTCTGATGCAGTTTTTTATATAAAAAAAAATCCTGCCCATCTTTCCACTCCCACTTGACTAGTATTCCTGTCAGAAAGTCACTGCAGACCTGATCCAGGAGACAAACACACATCACCAAATCCTATTTTCTGAGCRCAGATTATTATCAGCCTTAAAAAGTTTTTTTTTAACTTCTACAAAACAAATGCATCATCAGTATTAATAGTTACACCAATCTGCAGTATTTATTCTCTTGCAACTTTTTTCACAGCCTCCACGTTGAACACGCTGCTTCTTTTTGTGTTCATGCTCATATTTAGGTTGATTCATTAAGGTTTTTCTTTACACATTTATTGTTCTGGAAGGTAGAAAAATTGAGCTCTTTTTTTAGTGCTGGGAATGTTAACACATCATTMTTGCGACAGTTATTAACTGTGTTAATGGTGACAATTGTTTTAAGTTAGTTTTTTATTATTTTTAAAGGAACAGAGTGTAACATTTAGACATGTTTTTAGCAGGATTTAAGATAATCACTGATAAAAAATGATTCAAAACACATCTAATCATTAAAAACTTAAGAAGTCATTGGGTTATTTTTACCATGGAATAAGTTGTTTACAGTATATCTACAGGGGCATGGGTCGGTGATGGTTGAAGCTGCAACCAGTCTGCAGGTTTTTTTTTGTTTTTTTTTGCAAAAGATTTCCACGTTACAAATCAAAATATCCAGTTTTGTCTAAATCATAGGATTTTCGACTACCACAAGTCATTCCTGATCAGGCTCCACATTTTGACGTACTGTACCTTTACTGTGGGAGGAGTAACAAATCAAAACTCATGATGGAAATAAAAGAATTACAGCGTAATAAAAGTGTTTTAATGCTCATGCACTGGCACTCCTCAATAAAAGAATGACAGAAGACTGAGGTTTTGTCATGACTTTCCTCCCTTTATTTGGGTGCAAATCTGTAAAACTGCTGCTAAAGTTTCTGAGAGCAGGCTGAAGCTGATTCTGCTGTCATATTACAGCCCTGAGTGTTGGGACCTCATCAGTCATGTCTGGCTCAAACCACATTTAGCTTAATAACAGAATCATGCTGTCAACGTGCCAAAGCAATAACAAAAAAAAAAAACCTGAAACCACAACTATAATAATAATAATACTGGAAATAAACTCCTATTTCCACAGCCGGAGAATCAGGGAGCAGCTGCAGCTTCATATTAAAAACAAAACTGAGAAATAAATGTGGAATATTTTGTTATGTTTCTGTTCTGATGCATTGGCAGGGCATTTTCTTAAACTGAAACGTGTTGTTAATGGTCTAAAACAGTGCAATTCAAGTGGTGGCCCGCAGGCCACGTCCAGCCCATGTGTGGCTTCCGTCCAGTCCGCTAGGCGAATTATAATTTTTTACTTAATTTAATATAAAAATAGATAATAACTCAATTATAAATTTTTAATTATGATTCAATGCAACAAAATATACAATTTTAAATAGTAATAAATAATAATACTTGCAGTGTTGTGTAAAGTACTTCAAGTGATACTTGAGTAAAAGTATCTTATCATACAATTACTTTGGCAAAAGGTCTCCTTTAAGAAAATTACTTGAGTAAAAGTCTTAAAGTATCTGATTTTTTTTTACTTAAAATGTACTTAAGTGTTAAAAGTGAAAATACTGAGTAAAAATGAGTGATTAGATTTTCCAAAATGACATTTATTAGGAGGTGATCTCTTTAAAAAAACATTTTTTCTAAAGGCATGCAGCTGTGATGGATTGTGTACAAACTAATACGGTGTAAGAATGGTATTTATTTATATGTTTTATCCAACCACGATTAAATTCACTCTATTCAGGAGACACAATTTATCAAGATAGTTTTTTTAACAATAATGGGCTGGAATGAAATAGGAGTAACGAAGTTTTACTTCTTACTTTTYAAACATGTAATAAGTAGAAGTCAAAAGTAGGCTGAAAAATAATTACTCAAGTAAATTACAGGTAACCAAAATTTCTGCTTAAGTAAAGTAACAAGGTATTTGTACTTTATTACTTTACAGCTCTAAATACTTGTTCTTGTCCCCTTACCATCATCGGGCAATGCTACACAGAAATTACATGTTCAAAAAATCTGCTGGGAAGTTTTTAAAAAGTACCTCAGAAACCACCTGAGTCGATTCAATGAGACTCAAGTTCTTCCTCACAGCAGGAAACAGAGTGGACAGTTTAGCTCACGTGTATTTCGTCTGTGTTTTTATTTGCCAGGTGACGATGATGAGGAGGAAAGCGGAGAGGAACGCCTGCCGTCCTGCTTCGATTACATCATGCATTTCCTGACAGTTTTCTGGAAAGTCCTCTTTGCTTTCGTCCCGCCAACTGAGTACTGGAACGGCTGGGCCTGCTTCTTCGTCTCCATTTCCCTCATCGGCGTCCTGACAGCTGTGACGGGCGACTTGGCGTCCCATTTCGGCTGCACCATCGGTCTGAAAGACTCGGTCACTGCTGTGGTGTTCGTAGCCCTCGGCACCTCTGTTCCAGGTAGGTGTTTGTGGTGGAAAAACAAAGCAAAAACAACAWCAACAAATCTAACAGCACAGCCACGTTGTTTTCCCTCTGGGCAATGCCGAAGCAGCTGCTCGGGGAGATGTGTGTAACCTCTTTCTTCTCCTGTGGTGTCAGAGACATTAGCTGCAAAGCTTTAGTCTTGCAAGTTAACAAGCTGTAAACACAGAAACACACTGCTTTGTTTGTTTCTGTCAGCTTTGTATTCTCATTTAACCATGTCTTAAACTCTCTGAGGCACAAAGAGCAGATCTCAATTAGTCCTCAGCAGGTTTTATTTAACAGTAAACCTCACAATCCCTTCAAAGTTTGCACACGAGGACAGTTTCTATACAACAGAAGAAAACAATCCTGAATTAATGAACAGATTGTMGCAGTACAGGCTGGAGATGTACAAAAAAATAATATTGTATGTTCTTTTAATGTTTGCGCTTCTTTATAGCTAAAGTGCAATGTTTTATTAATCCAACTGATCAGTTAGAAACATATAAAGGAATATTTGCTGTTTTGAATTGGGATTTTTAGATGACTGCAATCTCAGGTTTGAAAACTGATTCAGTTCATGAAAAAGTCTTCAACTTTTACATTGTTTTTAATTTAGCATTAAACAGTTGTTTTAGCCAAACGAAGCTATTATCCTTCCAGATTTGGTTGCACTAAATATATGTCTAGTTGCTGCTATTTGTTTTGTAAATCCTCCCAGAAATGTATGCATACATTTTTAATTGCAAAAACGATGGCAGTGTACAAGTCTAATAAATAGTGTTTTCTTAGGTTTTATCCTCCAACAAATGCAATGTTTAAAGAACTGCAAATAATCCACAGCTGTTGGATATACAAATACTGGTTAGTGGAAAATTCACCTGCGCAAACATTAAAAGTTGTTCTTTTATTAAATTTTACACTGACCTTCAAGTCATTTTACGCAGTAGATTGTTATGACCAGACATGGTGGGATGGCAGATGGATCCTTTCTGGATAACTGTATGAAGATACAGAACACTCTCTTTCAGCTTCAGTAAACTTGAAACTACAGTCCAGAGGAAAAGCACATAGCAATAAAATCCATGCCAGTCCAACTAAAACAGTGTAACAATTATAGTTTACTTTTTAACTGAATACCATTTTTGTGAATGGGCTTGTGATTTGTCATTCACCAGTAAACTTAGAAATCTTCAACAATGCTAACACCATGCTAAACTGCTGGCTCAATACAGTAATGGTTTTAAATACTTGAACATTCAGATTATGATATAATTATATTTATTTWTTTAATTGTTTGACTAATTTGATCTTTGTTACTTGTTTGTTCTCAAAACTAAAAGGCAGAGAGGAGAAAAATAAAGAAAAAAAAGCAGAGTCTTGGGCTCTGTATACTGAGGTAATATATGGTGCATTTTACAAGCATGGCATGAGTCCGCTCAATCCCTTTTAGAAAGAAGGGTCACTGAAAATCGATACAAAGTTGTTGTGAGCAATCACCGCTATCTGTGATGAAAGATTTATATCCTGATGGGACGCTGCCTCCAGAATGACGACCACATCAATAGACCACCAGGGTTCACTGAGGGGTTTGAGGAGGAGAATCAATTCCAAGGAGAAATGAAAATGTCCTGGTCCACAAGGTGACCCAACAACTTCCCTAATGTCCTTTCCTGTTCTTTGTCAGCAAGAAGGATTTTAAGCTCAAGTGTTTGTATCTTCATCTGATCTGAATAAATCCTAAATCCCCCTCTTGAATCTCTCTGTCACAGACACYTTTGCGAGCAAAGTGGCTGCCATTCAGGATCAATACGCAGACGCCTCCATCGGGAACGTGACGGGCAGCAACGCGGTGAACGTGTTCCTGGGCATCGGCGTGGCGTGGACCATCGCGACCGTTTACTGGCAAACCAAAGGCAAGCCGTTCAAGGTGAACCCGGGCTCCCTGGCCTTTTCTGTCACCCTCTTCACCATCATGGCGTTGGTGTGCGTGCTGGTGCTGCTCTACCGCCGGCGTCCCAGCGTCTCGGGTGGAGAACTCGGGGGCCCACGGACAGCCAAGCTCCTCACCTTTTTCCTGTTCCTCTCCCTCTGGTTCATCTACATCCTGTTGGCCTCCCTGGAGGCGTACTGCCACGTGCCTGGCTTCTGAGACCAAGCGAGGGGGGGAACACAACCACAACTTGTTTTCTTGTTTTTACAGTCTGATGAACATGTTTCTCTCTGTTTTTGTCTATTTTCACAAAGATTTCTAACTATTTGTATACTCATTTATTATCAATACAGCACAAAATCTGTTTGACTGTGTATTTAAGGAATTTGCTATCAATGCTGTGAAAGTTGCTTTAGACACTGAAACTGAACTTCTCTAAACCTTGTTGTCCTATTTTTAAATACTGCTTCACACAGATCATTTCTATTATAATCATTAGAATGAACTTTGATTGTATTAACACGCTCATGCTCTGAAAGCACAACTTTTACACAAACTTTCATGAGATTCCCTCATTTTGATGGAGGTTAAACAATGAAATTTGAGGATAGTGCATGGGCTGACGTTTACATTAGATGAAAGACTGAAGGCCGCTACATACTCCATCCGAAGCTGCAAAATCTGCGCTAATTCTCGCAGTTACGTGACAAAAATGGCGTCATGTTGTTTGCCTGCCCCTTCTTGACACAAGATCCGGGTCGAACATTTTCTGACGGGTTAATGAGGTTTACGTGATCGACCAGAAATTTGTGGCCATGTTTGTTAATGCAGAAAAGCACTCAGACAACTATGGTGGACGTTTGCTTCAACTATTTTGCTTCTAGAAGCTGGCTGTTGTGCGTTTATGAATAGTTTTGAGTGTCAGTTGTCTGAGGCAGTCAGYAAGTACGTCCATTTATAGTCTTGTAAACAGTTATGGGCACAGCTAACCAAAAAGTAAGGTTCACTAATCTGAGAAACAAGAACCTTAGCTCTTCTAACATTAATCCACTAAACAGATTAAAAAAGAAAAGTTAGGGGAAGCTATCGCTAACCGCTAAGATGACTGTCTGTGACACCATCTTCTTCTCCTTCCAACTGAAGGCTGGTGGGTCTGACACAAACCTGTTAGTGTCCTATTGGCTTAATTAGAAGGTGGGTGGGATCATCTGTGGCAAATCAACCAATCCAAACAAGTTGTAGGTCTTTTGTACTTACCCCTTTCAGAATAAAAGCATTTTATGAATGAGTTGGATCTTTATAACAAACAAAAAATACTTCCTCCACCATTATTTCTATGTAGTCACTTTTATATTCATCTTTTAAATATTGTTAAATATTATTTCTTTTCTTTTCGACACTCTTAGTTTGAAATTTAGCTGCTAAAGCTACCACATGCTACACGTGCCTAACACGTCCAGCACTTCTTGTAAGAGGGGATAGTTTTGTAATTAAATCAGGATAAATGGTACACAAATAAAAGTTTTGCACTTGTACATTTTTAGTGAACTTAACACGAGCAGAACCTAATTTTGAAGAAGCGAATCTGCCCGCTAACAGTTTCCAAAGTTATCAAAAAAAGCAAATCTGTGTAATGAGAAGCTAGTTCTGCTATTAGCAGAACTGTGTCCACCACTGCTTATTAAGACAGTTAAAAGACCAAAACCTCACGGATGGAAAAAGCACAGATATWTAATGAAGAAGTCCCTCTGCTGAAAAGTGGGGCGATCTATCAGGGCAGATTTGTGGCCAAGCGGCTGATTTTAAAATGGAGACTCCAAGTGGGAAAATCCCGGGCTGTGAGGTTTCCCAAGAACTCTGTGTGCATCATGGTCTATGAAAAGCGTCGACTGTTCAGCTTCAGATTGAGTCTGTTGAGCCCTTAAAGTGATCGGTAAAATGTGAGTGTGATGATATTTAGTAATTGATCGACAACATAAATATTTCTTGTAAATCATGTAAAAGATGAACATTGTGCGTGGGAGTTTTTGTGAAAGGTTCGGTGTGTTTAATTTTGCACGTTAACAATTTCGTGGTGATCTACTTTAAAGTGCTGTATGTAATTTTTGAAGATGGCTGTTCAAGTGTTGATGTTTCTCTGAACCTGTGAATCACAGCTGTAACATAATCTCCTCGCTGGTGTCCCTCCTCAGTTACTTTCAGATAGGCAGGGTTATAAAAAGTTTTCTTTATTTCTCTTTTTACAATAAAAGTCAACCAGGAGGAGAGTTCTCGCTTCGAAACTGTGCATTTTCTTCAAGTTAATTTAGAAATTTTATGTATGTGTGTATGTGGTGAAGATGTGCAGCTGCCATCTCTGACACAAATTTGTAAAAGCGCTCTTCTTTGAAACCTGAAGGCTTATTCAGTCAAAGTAGGATGGAGTTTGTGTATAGACATTTTAACGTTTGTCAAGCTGACACTGTGAATTCAACAAAATAAGATCAGATAAAGCACAGCAGCAAGCAAAAAAGATATTTCAAATGGGACCAGGAAGAGTTTTTATTATTTTCTATCACAGCACAGCCATCAAACCGGTCCATCATATCCCTAAAAACTTGTGAAAAGAGAAGATGTACAGTATTTCTTGAGAGTGTCTCGGTGTTACACAGCAGTTGATACTGACTTTTTTCTTATCTGACCTGAACTCTGTATAGCCATATTTATTGTAACTGTGTTACAGTAGAGGTATTTATATGATCTATTTTAGTTTTGTTGATATGCACGTTTAATGTACAAAAGTGGAAATAAATGTTGCTGATTTATGATGCTATATAATGCCTAGTTCTTATGATTTTTGTCTTTTTTATCTCTGGTAAATGTAGACATAATGTACTGTTCACTTAGCAATTTATAGTTGTCATCTACACCTTAAGACATGTCAAACTCATGGCCTGTGGGCCAAACGTGACCTGTCACAACATTTTATGTGGCCTGCGAGAGCTTCATGTATTATTGTCATAAAAGAAGTGAATGTTCCTTTTAAGTTAGCATGGACCATCAWCTGCATTTCCCATAATCCATGGTGATTCTTTTAAAAACAAAATGACAGCATCTCACCTCTAGGTGGAGGCGCACAGGGTTCAAAAGAAGCCACTAGCCAGCAAAATTAGCTGTGTAAATTCACTCCATCTTAGTACACTTTGCTGTGGTCTAGTTGTATCGGGTGGGAATTTCCCACTTGAAGTTGTAAATTTCAACTGGAACACCCCTTCCACTGAGACTACCCTGTCAGAAAGTGGAAGAGTTCAGAATTCAAGATGGCAGCTGCTCACCACGACTCAACAGTGAGTAAAACTCTCTTACTTCACATTTAGTCAGTCGCACACATAGTACTTTTCAGTGTTCATGAGAAGATGTGTTAGAACATTTATATGCAGGAAGTACCACGTAGAGCTGCACTCTATGAGACCAGGAACATGACGATTTGTGTTTAGTCAAAGTTAAACACGAAACATCAAATTAATTGCATTTTGAGAACACAGTTTGCTGTTTGCTCCTCAGCTGTTTACCTGTCACAACTGTCACATTTCTACGCGTTATCCTTGGCCTGTTTAATCACTCAGTTTTTGCCACATCCTCAGATGAGCAGTGTTGGTCTCCTTGTGTCAAATTGTGTTTATCACCAGGATTTTGATGTAAGTTTTGCTGCCACAACAGTCTTTATTCTGTCATAATAAAATGTGTTTTTTTCCTGGAATCAGTCTGCAGTCTGGGTCCAAAACCTTCACAAATTGTGATGTGATGTTTGTGTAATATTCATGAGTCCCCTTATGTTAACCACACAAAGTATTGGATTGAAGGTGTACTTGAGTGTTGTGGTGTAACTGTACATTGTTGTTGGTGTAGCGTTGTTGCAATATATCTGTGTCATTCACCAGCATCCTCTTGTGGCCGTTCTAATAAGAGTCTGTAGTCGTGTCCAAATGTCCATCTCTTCTATCAGCATCATGGTCTCACCCACCATCTTCAGTGTCTTCTTCATGTCTGTGCTGCTCTACTCTCAGTCTCACAATTTGTCTTCTGTTCTCCACGTCTTCAAGTAAAGAGCAAAACACAACAGCAATTTTAACTTTGGTTTCCTCCGGGTTACTGTTCCAAACGACAAGTAGAAATGTTGGTTTTTATATTAGTACACAGCATATGTGACAGTACATAGCAGGTATATAAAACATAATTCCACAGATATTCATCAACACAATGTGTACAAAGCTGCCATCAGTTGTAAAGTAACTAAGTACAAATTCTTTGTTACTGTACTTAAGTAGAAATTTGGTTATCTGTACTTTACTTGGGACGAGGTCACTGAGGTGGTCAAAAACCTCCTCGGTGGCAGGGCCCCGGGGGTGGATGA